TGTGTGTGTGTGTGTGTGTGTGTGTGTGTGTGTGTGTGTGTATTTTTAAAAAATAAAACTTTTATACTGGTTTACTTACAGTTTGTATACACTGTTTTTCACATTGGATCTTTCCTGTGTCCTTTACCCACCCCTCCCTCCACCCATCAAATTGTGTGATCCTATGACTAAGTTCCATGTAGTTCATAGTTATAAATTACTTTTTTCCTATTCCTCATAAAAGAGGAAGCTGAGGCACGGAAAAGTAATTTTCCCAAAGTCGCACAGTTAAGTGACAAGGCTTATTTTCTAATGACAGCCATTCTATTTTGAGTTGATGTATAATGTTATATTTTTTTAAATACATATTTTTCTTTTATTTCTACTAGAATATAACATTTTTAGCCAAAAGGGACAAATGGAAACATTTACAGAGGCATTACCACTGTGGTAAAAGATAGGCTGTGTGTGTGACACTCCTCAGGAGTGGGTTTATTTACACTGATTAGGGGGTTATAAGAAAAAGAATTCCGTTGAGAGAAGAGTAGTAGAATTATTAAATCACATTTTTCTAGTAATGTCCAGGAAGTTTCCTTCCTAGTTTCACAGTTTTATTCATAGCTTTTTGTAGTATATCAAATTACTATACAGTTTTCAGGACCAAGCTCAAGTACTTTAAGTTGCAGTAGCAGATAAATACAGTGTTCCAGGAGTTTACAGTTTTTAAATACATTGTTCAACGTGCCTGCTAAAATAAACGGTTTACCACTATACATCTTTAGCTTTTTTTTTTTTAAATGATAGCAACTATTCTGAACATTTAGGGGACAGTATTTGAATTAGGTAACCATGTGGTTCAATAAACAGTGACCCCCAACATCCAGTTCTGATTCCAGTTAAAAATTCAGACTAAAGATATCACAATCTGTAAGAAAGAAAGAATACAGATGATATAAATGAGGAATTATAGCAAAGCGTGTAAAGAAAATAAGGTGCAAAGAATGCTAGAGATTATGAATTAAAAATGGAGAAAAAATGGCAAAGAAAATGCTGAAAACCCATAAATAAAATTGCAGTAGCTCAACTACATACATAATTTTGCCTTAAATCTGGAATTCAACAGAAATTCCCTTTAGACAGTGATAGTCAATTGCCTTTAATCAACTCTTCATGTTTCAATTTTATTAAACAGAACTGCACAAACTTCAACCCTTGTTGCTATGTTCTTTAAAGAAAATTACATCAACTTGAGTGTAATGAAAAGCCATGGAAAACCACCAGATGGCGAGATATCCCAAAGGGCCCTTGCCTACGTAGATCCAGCCTTGAAGCCTCTTCCTTTGGCCACAGACCTCTGACCTCAGGTGCAGCCCTTGCCAAAGCTAGTAGCTGCCACCGTACCTGCAAACCTGGCACTAGGATGGGACTCAAATTCCCCAGCTTCTGCCTTCACAGCTTCCATCAAAGTCAAGGTGAGATCCTTCTCATTTTCAATAGACTTTAACCAAAAGACTGTATGGATGGGATATAAACTAAGAGCAAAGAGGGCTTCTAAGGAAATGCTATGATCCTCTGTCCTACTTTGACTTGGCTGACATCTCAGTTCCCTAGATCAACCATCTTAAATGGTTTCTACTTTCGGTTTGTTAGGTTGAACATAGTCACTTGTTAAATCAATTTTTACATTGCTTAAGTCCTGATAAGGCAGATAAGAGCTGAACTCACTTGGTCATTCATTCGCCCACAAAGCTTCTTCAGTCAAATTTTAATTTTGTTCCAAGTTTAGTAAAACGCTTTTCATTTTTATCCTGTGAACTATGGGTTCTCCACTTCCCAGTTCCTGATACTAATTTCCTTTTCATCTCACCTCTCCTCTCTGCTTCCACTTCTCATATTGTTAACTGTGCTCTGAAATGATCAGCACTGATAATATTATTCCTCATTTGGAAACCAAATAAAAGAAAATCTTTCACTGTATTGTCTACAGGCTGATTTCAAATGATGAAAACTAATGCCCTATTTAGTTTTTATGTTTCTTTACAGCACTGACTACTATGTGATAATGCTATTTCTTTCCTTCCTCAATTTATTCCTGTTCTGTGATTAGAATTGCTTTTCATTACATCCCCTGTGTTGATGTAATTGGAGCTCTCTTTCTGTTGTAAACAAAACATCTAATATGTAAATGCTTTTCACCCCCAGACATCTCTTCTTGTAGTCCTATGCCCCCTGCTCCAATCTGGAAGTTTGGTAGAGTGAATGTGGAAATCTCCTCTTGGAGCCCTATACACCCCCTGCTCCAATTTGGGAAACTGGTAGAGTGACTTGCATTGCTTTCTTGCATCCTTTTATCTGAGATAGAAACTTTTGTTTTTAACAGTGCATCTTAAATTCACTTGCTAAGAAAAGGGAATGAGATGCGGTCTTTACTGAACCTTGACGTAACTGGAAAAGCACTTGCTCCATCTTGGCACTTATTTGTTCATACGGACTTTTAAGCTATCAATTATTTCCCCCTTAACTTTCTGAATCTGTTTTTCATGAATCTTCTAGCATTCCATGCTGTGATAGGAACTGGATACTAGTCTAATTCTTTTAACTTTATGGCTAATCTATTTCAGCCTTTTTGGAAACTTACCCACCACCACTCACTGCTGTCACATCCATTCCAACTTCCAGCAATCCTCAGGACACAGGAAACTGCCCCCTATCATTTCCAAACTGTACTCTTTATGGAAACTTATCACCATGACTTTCTCTTATGGTATTAGTCTACAGATAACCTAGTTCTTTAAATGTTTGTTGAAGAAATGAATTCTGGAGACTCAAAAGACAGAATAGTAAGCAATCCTTTTTCAGTAAGTTCTAAAGCTAATGAGTTAACAAACAGGATGACAAAAATGGAAGTTTTATACATTTCGTCAAAGTTCTAGGGTTTGGGTCTAGAGCCAATCAAACTTAACTCTTTTAAAATTTCCTTTCTTGTTTCTGTTTCTAAAGGTTTTTTGCTGAGAAGGTAAACAGATATCTGACTTGAGCTTGATTCCTTTGCTTTAATTATACATAAGTTAACTTTGAAATCTAGATCTTATTAACTATCTAATGTGTTTCAGAGAAGAGACATAAAGTCCTGTAGGTGTTCTTCAAGGGAACACAACCAAGGGAAGCAAAAACGGGACCTTACACTCTGGTGTGCAGAGCTGCTGAGGAGTTCACACCCCAGAGCAGCCCAGATCTACTCACTCTGAATCTCTGGGGTCAGGTGGTGACTAATGAGTCCCAGGGGCTACAGAGTGGTGGCAGCTACTGCAGGAAAAGAAAGCAAGATGCTGGGGAAAGGAAGAAATCAGGCTTGAGAAGGGTGCTGAGGTTCAGACATGAGGGGTAGGAAGCCACAGTAATGGAATGACATGCAATGTTGTTCAATGCTTTTATGTGGCTAGAGGATCAAAGTTAAAAAAAAAGAAAGGAAAAAAAATCTGTGGGCTCAGAGTAAATTCTAGCTTTGCCCAGAGTGAAAACATTCAGAAACTGTATCTCACAGACAGAGCAAACTTGAACTAAGAACTGCTCTAAGATCCTTTTTGAAGGTACTGTACTGTGCTGTACTGTACCTTTAAGATCAGTCAGTTCTTTACGCTCTCAATCAGGATGGGGAAGAATGAGAGCACACCACTGGCGTGTGTGCCCTGTGACATTCAAGATAATACTGCATTCTGCCAACATTCGATAAATGGTTTCTGATTTAAAAAAAGATCGCAATTAAATAAACGATAGATCCAGTAATTTCTGGAACTTAAGATCGAATCTCACCTTCACCTGCACAGGACAGGACAGCAGAATCCATCTGAGCAGCTAAATGGATTCAGAACACATGTGCTCACCTGCTGGCCTTGAAGCCTTTTAATTTCTGCACAAAGAATGATTCAAGAACTTCTGCACACTGGTAGAAAGGGGAGTCGCTAGGATTGTAGTAACGGCAGTTATCAAAAATTTTGGTCATATCCGCCACAAATTCCGTCAGCCTTTCATAATATCGCCTTTGTACCCTTTCTTCCATGGTGGCAAGGTCTGAAAACCACAAAAAGTACAACAGTATCAAAGCTACACCCTTTTCCCAATACAATAGTGAAAACTTCTATTATAACTAACAAGAATATCTCCCACCCAGGCAGTCCTGGAACCAAGCTGGTTCACCAGCAGTGGCATATTTTCCAACTAATGAAGTAACATTCATTTTCTTATTAGTTTGCTTGCTTGACTAGGGGAAGAGGGCTTGAAGTAGAAATTATGGTTATTGTTAAAGTGTCTTAAATGTTCTGAAACTCCCTCTGGCTCAGTGTACACAGGACAGCTCTTTATTCAGGTCCTTGGAAAAAAGCAAACCCTACCAATATGGGACATAAAGCAGATCTCAGCAAAATACATGTTTACACGCAAAAAACTAAGTATATTACATATGCAAAGGGAAGGTGGGGACATAGAATTAAGAACAAAATCTCCTGTCAAATTAGTTTTGTACATGTATTGAGTTTTAAGAGTATTTTTATTTTAAAATTCACTTTTATTACTTTATTTGTGGGAAGTAACACTGATATACCATTCCTGATGGCCATGATGTTAACATTTACACTTAATAAATGTCAAGGGAAAAATACTAATATGAAAAAAAGTATTTAGTTATCAGATCATTGCTGTAGAGTTGGAATTAACTCATGGGTGAGCCCCCAGCAGTTTTCTGAGGATGCAAATCACACAGGAAACTGCCCATCTTTTTCCTACAGAGCCGCCTATGGATTCGAAGTACCAAAGGCTTAGCTTTTGGGTTAACCATGCAACTCCCTACAGAATGTGCCACCCGAGCTCCCTGGCGGATAGGAACAGGGACAAATAGGAAAAAAAGTTAAAAAAACCCATAAAAGTAACAGAACAAGAAGAGTTATCAGAGTCACTTCTGACTCACATGGATCCCTGTAAGTGTCAAAGTAGAAGTGATGTTCCATGGAATTTTCAATGGCTTGTTAAAAAACATGGGAAAATACGTAGATCACTAGGGCTTTCTTTCAAAAGGGGCCATAGTGGTATGGGGCATAATGTATCGGGCTGGTTATCAAAATGTCAGCAGTTTGGATCCACCAGCTATTCTATAGGACCCAGACGGGCAGTCTCCTCCTATAAATTTATATTTATAATGTCTGAGTTAGAATAAATGATGAGTTTGGGGAAAACACATATACACCCCATAAAGATGATATAGTCACAGCTTAGAAGTAATAAAACCTTTAAGAGAAAATTCTGTTTGAAAGAAATTTAATACATAATTTTATGTAAAACTGTAGGAGAGTTAAAGGTCAATGGTAATGTAATTCCAAATAAAACCTCAATGTTTATTTTGGAATCTGCAAAAATTATTTTAAAGGTCAAATCTCCTTAACCTCAAAAATAAACTAAAAAAAAAATCCAAGAAAAATATGAATAAATATTTCTTAGATAAATGGAAGGGAATTAGCCAATTAGATATTAATATTATATACTATGATAATAAAAATTGTGGCTCTGTGTAGGATGACACAGACATCAACGGAACTGAAACCCAAAAGGGGCAGCCCTAACTGTGTAGTTGGTGTACAAATTTCACATATGCTGAGGATGTAA